CAATTTTACGTTTGTCAGTTGTTGTGCTATTAATTGTAGTTTGTTAAAGAGGTCATCATCAGTTAAAATAGTTGGATGATACACTTGCATTTTGGTGGATGTTTTTGCTGTTAATAATTTATCAGTTAACAAGATTGCTGCATTCATAGCTTGTGTTATCATGTTTTGTTACCATATCTTGGAAATTTTGTCTGTCATAATAGAGATCCATTGGATTTTTAGTTCTTGTATGTCCAAAGACTACTTCTAAAGGTACGCAATTATTGCTAACAGCCAGTCTAGAGAAAACGTCTACAATAGTAAGATATTTTTTTGAGGTTACTGTAAAAACGACTATCATGATCTTATCAAACGGTGCATCGGGCGTTTCCGGTATTGGTAAGGCTGGAACTTCAGGTCTTCTGTTATACTTTGACTTCTGACAAATTCCACAATTCTTGACACATTTTTCCACATAATTTTTCATTTTGGGCCACCAGTATTCGCGTTGAAGTTCATTTCAAGTTCTTTCGATTCCACGGTGGTTTATTATTCCAGAATGGGTCTTTAGCACTTGTTCAATCTTTTCTTCTTCGGTTTGCAGTACTTTGACTCGTCTTAAACATCTTATTATTTTCGGTCCGCGGTTGTTGAACAAATAGGAATATGCCGTGCAGAGTTGTTCGTACAAATCTTCTTCTTGGACATATAGATAATGTTATTTTTTCTGAAAAATATTCTTTTAAAATGGTTTTGATGTTCTCATATAGATTCTCCTTGGGAAACAACTATTCGATCGTCGTTTTTCTTTATAGTTCACTCAATTTTGTTATTTAAACCTTTGTTTATAATCATTTGATGTTTTTTTACTTTCCAAACGAGTATCTTGTATTTCGATAGTTCTCGTTGGTTTTCTAGTATCAGTAGAATGAATTGTAGTGGAATCACTTTCTATTCTCTGTTCAGGTTGGGGTTGTAGTGATCGATTTATGTCTCTTTGTGGTTCAACGGTGCTATTTTGATATTCATCAAAAAGAGATAATATTTCGTCATAATCGACTTCTGGTATTAATGAAGTATTCTTTTTTTGTCTTTATTGAGTCGCACCAGGAATCCAGGCAATTTTAGCTCTGTCTTCTCGGCTGATACGGCCCTGTGCGGTTTTTCTCCTTGTTGAAGGATTAGGGTTTACCACGATTTGAGTAGATAAGGACCTCGGCTGATGCCTTCTGTCATTTCTTCTTGTGTCGGTTCTCGTGTAAGGGATAAAAGTCCTCCGAATCTTCAACACAGCATGATTTTAAGTACTCGCGTTAAAGTTCGTCACGAAAATCCGAATGACTGCGCCATTTACACGTCTTCTAACGTTCTAACGTTATTTTTCTAATTCTTATCATTTCGGGTGTCATCATTTTTCTGGTGCACCTGCGAGCTGTAATTTTATTTTCCGACCGCCAACTCGTTCTGCAGGTGCTTACGCGTTCGGAGGACTATGTTGATGGCTCTTAGCAAACATAAAACACACGCGGGGGTGCTTGTCTCATTTCCTTTGGTTAAACAAACATTTGAGGTAAAAGAAAAACTTTAGTATGAACAACATCCAGGCATGCAGGCCTGGCTGGCTGGATCTATAGCCAAAACCAGGTGTATATTAGTCCTTGTGGCAGTGTCAGCGTTGGGTTGGGTTAGGAGATAGTTCAAAAATATCCCCGTCTTTCTCTACAGTTGAATTGCAAATAGTTCTACCAAAAACAATTCCGCAGTCTTCTGTTTTGAAGAAAGTGATCTAATCAGCAAACTGAATTCCGGAACATCATGCACCTTCCAAAATATTAAATTATACCAACCAATTTTGCAAGCCAAGGCCAATATTGCTAACATACCACGGATTAACATTTAGTAACCGTATCAAACAAGCAATAAATTTGTTACTGATTACTTTTAAACTCACTGCAAATGAGTTGTGTGTTAAAACAGATATCTACAAAGAAACCGCATTGGCTTTATGTTTAAGATATTTGCTGCGTTATCCTGATTATGGTTAATATATCCAAGTGGTTCAGAAAATTTAGAAACAGCTGATGAAAAAATATTGAAGATATTCTGTGTAAGCAGCTTATTCAGCTAAATAGGAGTAATTGTCCCAACTTGTATAGAAAAGTGTTATTCAGCAACAAATACAATTATTCGCACAAAGTAGGGATCAATACATATCAGTGCTTACAGGAAATTTCGTAAATATGTAGTTTTCAAGATCTTTGTAGATTCGTTGTAGCTTGGCCAGCTGGTGGTTTAGCTCCTGAAACTACTTGCTGGAGCCGCTGCTTGTTGGGTGACTATGTTGAGTGGTGGATATTGACAAGAATGTAATGGTCTCTCTTTCAATTTGCTTATAATGATATTCGATATTCTTTATTTAATATAAAACGGTTATAAGGCTATCATGATTTATAGTCCTCGATGATTTCTTTCCAGATTATTCTTCAAAATAATCGAGTTAATGTAGTTTAGCCGTAATATTTAGAGTTTTCTATTTAATGATTGTAGTTTATGACTTTAGTAGAAAGACTGAGAAAAACGACTTTATTTTTTGTAGATAATTTAATGATACAGTTAAGAGTCATTATCCAGTAGAAGCAGAGTATTTGGTATGCTTAATGAAATGATTGATGAATACAGTTCAAAACGGTCTTTAAAAATAAATGTTACAAAATATACCCGCGGGAATATAAAAACAGGCATTCAATAATTTACTTCTAAAATTTTTCATTTATATTCAACCATTTAAAAATCGATTTTTTTAGAGAAATTGTTTGTTGAAAATAAATCGATAAATAAATCTATAAATATTAATAGGGTGATGTAGCAACAGACCGGTTCGAAATCAGGCACGACTACAACACCGTACGTGACAGAACTGGCTAATTTTGTCCGGTTCACGGCAGTGAAAAAGCTGCAACTTAAATGGGATTCTGTTTAAACTTTCAAAGAACACGTGCAGCTTTTGTGAGAACGAAAGAATTAAATGGAAATGACTCGCCCCATTTCATATTCCATTTGAATTTCGCATCTCTCCCCCAACTCAATTTTTTTATTCATTCATCCAAAATCCTATACACCGAGATTCAGAACAATTTCAAGAGAGTTTTTCTTAAGGAGTCGTCTCTGCAATAACACAGTTAAACAAATAATTTTAATTGATGTGAAACAGGTTCGATTGCCAATTATTCTAATGATTAGGTTAAGATGAGTAAATCTCTGTGTTGTGATATGATCGAATCGTAATCGGATCATCTCTAATGGAAACGTTAAATTATTGACTGTGAATCAAGTTCAGTTTGGTTGTAAAGAGGGGTGGAGGTAATTAGTGCTCTTTCTACAAGCGCAGGAGGAGGCTCTTTTGCCCTCTAATCAGAGAGATTCCTAGGTCTATATTTTGCACTGGTAACTACTAAGGGGTGCCGTATTAACATCTAATCCAGGAGATGTAACCTCAGCCAATTCTAACAAGAAGAGGAACTCTAATAACATTAGTACTCTGATTTCAAAAACTTTTCATCTCAAATGTATATTTGAAATTTAAATTCTTCGATATTATTTTTAATGGTGATATCATGACCGTTAGCCCTTTTGTTTCAAAAATCATTAATAGGGGTCGTGGAAGGAATGCGGTGGTAGGATTTGTTTATGACTGATGGAAGGATTGTCTGGAGTTGTACAGGTCGGGTAGCTCTCACGATTACTGCTGCCTATCACGCACAAACTCCATTTCTATGCTGAATTCGAGCCTGGCAAAAAAACACCGGGCTTACTAAATGGGAATGCCCCACGTGCTTTTATATACGATCGATCCGATGGGCATACATTTCTATAATTTACCCTCCACGCCCACATTGTTCATCGCCATTAAATATTCAAAGTGTAGATTACCTAGATTACATTCTAAATGTGATTTTAATTTTAATTTTAAATATTTAGACATTTTTGTTTCATTTTGTTTTTTGAAGCTTTGGAAAGAGTAATTTAATAACTCTGTCGGGTTATAAATACGAATCGGCGTTGAAAAAAGAAGGGGATGTGGGGAAGTTTTGTAACGCGAGACATTAGCAGTTACACATTGCTGCTATTTATTTTCGAACACCCGTATAGTACTACGTGTGTTCGAATAACGACGGTGGGCTCGTTTAGAATTTTCCATTAATAGATATCAGGTGTACACGTCAGGCTGGTTTGTATGGGGGAAGAGTTGTTGGGGAAAACGCGACAACTAATCACTCGCCCATTAAGAACAGTACTTAATCAAATATTACGGGCGACATCGTCGACGTTCAAAATCGATGCCCGGCATACACATCAATATTAATTAACCATCGGAAATACAAACGAAAAATGTTCCTTTCTACCTAAAACGATAGCCACAAGGATTAAATTATAGGGCCAAAAAATGGTCGTTATTAAAATTAATTAGTTTTTGTTTCCATTTAATGTACATATAAAGTTTGATAATTATAGAGGATGGGTTTATTGTATGTACAGAATTCGTAAACAATACCGTAGTCAGTTTAAACGTTTAGCGCGTATCATTAAGTCAATATTGAACTTGTCGACGTGATTTACCGATACCTCCGAACGTATTTGTCTATTAATGCGAACTGTCACGGTACGAAATGAGCCTGTTCCTCCGATCGAAAACTAATTACAGTTTAGAAGCTACCGTTCAAGTCGCCCAGGACTTGATTTATCAAGTTTAGATTTATTACTAACACAACCCAATTGAATAGAAAATCTCTCTTTTTACTATACGAACTCTATTTATAGTTTTAATCGTCAACAGTCAATCTATCAGTGAAAAGTAAATCAAATTGAATAAACAATCTAGTTTAAAAAAATATATGAAAAATGTTTGAAATATTTGGAAACCTACTGGCATAGAAATCCAAAAATTAAGGATTGGGTGGTTGTTTTATTATGGGACTAATTACAAAAAATATATACCAACATACAACAAAAATAATTATTACCATTCCTAATATCGTAAAAACCCAAGTAAGTATTTGCGTCACACGCATATCATAAACGTAATTTTCGACGGTTTCAAGTAATTCTCCTGATAATTCAAAACTCTAAAACAAAAAGAAAATAATTTATTAAAGTAATTTTTAATAAACATTTACCTCTTCCGTCCATAATAAAGGTACCATAGATGGATTTAATAATGTTGTTATGCTTATTCCATCTATTGGTCTAAGTACCATGTTATATTGAAATCTTTTGGCTCCAATCAAAGGAATTCCTGTATCCTATAATAAAATAAAAACAGTTTATGAATAAAAAATGCTTGACAACTATACACTGTGTTATAACGTTAAAAAAGCTAAAATACGCAAAATTACCTTATTTTACATCAAAATTGAGTTTAAATTAAAAAGTAAAAGGATGAAAAAAATGATTATGGATACAAATTATTCTAAATTATCATAAAAATCTCTGATTAAATAAAATTTGTCCTATCACTGAAAATTGGAGACATAAAACTAAGAAACTTAAATACTTAAAACTCTAAAATTGAGATGATAAAAATATTCCTGAATTAAAAAATTATAAACCTTGAAACAAAATGTTATGAAAGAATATGGTAGATAACCTTAACAGACGTTTGGTAAAAACGGTTCTAACTTAATCTTAACTTACGACAGTAACAAACTTTTATCCCAGTTTTTCCACCTAATTTACAAGCCGATATCTTCGTTGTCTCTAGAGATTTGGTAGCAACAAAAAACTAAATCAATATCAATCATACAGGATATTTCATACTCTTTTTATCGGTGCATAAAAATATCGAATACGAGATTTTAAAATTGCAGTAAAACCTGAATATAACGGATTAATACGGGGTAGCTCCGTTATATAATAATTTTTTAATTTGCACTTTAAATTGTTTGAATGACTTCAATGCGCACAAATTCGAACAGCTACCCATACCGTTGATTTCTGTATTACTTAGCTATACTTGTAGTTCAATAAAAATATACAACAATCTAGCACTGAATAACAACTAAAATAAGAACCACTAGATCTAGAACTAGAAACATCGGGTTTAGCACCTATGCAAAGTTAGCCCCCAATTAGATAAGATTTTACATGTATAGTATTTTAATTATAACAAGAGAACCACTCAACCGATTTCGATAAACAATGTCTCATTCGAAAGCTTAATCCTTGGCCAATACGAAAGTGGAAATGCCCGATTCGAAATCTCTTTCGAATTCCGCTAAAACGCCAAAATAATGCTAAGGTACACGAAAATAACACAAAAATGACCTTTTTAAGTGGTGATAACTCGTAAACGATGTACCCGATGATCAAGATCTATACATCATTCGATTCGTCATAGTTTCTTTTATGGAAATCACAATGCCTGATTTCAATTCTCTCCCGTTAACCTTGTACAGCCCTCGGAATGACACCGTGTTCGGCTCGTTGTTTATGCACGTGTGAACGTCCGAAAGTCTAGCCCCCAATATAAAAAAATTAATTTAAACTAAATCGACTATAATTAGAGAACGGCTTAACGGATTTTAATGTTTTATATCTCAATCGAAAGTTTGTGCTTGGCTGAATGCGGTTGTCTAAAGATTGGCTAAAGATTAGGCTTTCAAATGAGACATTGTTTATCGAAATCGGTTGACTGGTTCTCTTGTTATAATCACTACTAAACCCACCTAACTTCCCATAGGTGGGTTTTGTAGTCTTAAAAGGCGTACGGCTTAACCCGAATCTTTCTAATTCTAGATCTAGTATTAGTTCTGTTTTTAGTTCAATAAAAATATACAATACGTTCTAACCAGGTTTTACTGCATTTTGTAAAAACAGCCTTTCCGGCACAGTTTTGGAGCGCATTAATACACTTTTCAGCTCTGTGAACCTGGAACCCGAGTTTACGATATTTTGGTTTTATTAGTACTATTCGATAAAGAATCGTTTGTACTCGTTTGTACCACCTTTAATTTCGTTTGTACTTCAGGATCTATAGAAATAAAAAAAATTTGAGAAATTGCCGGAGCCCCACTTTTTGATATTCTAATTTTATTAATACCATTCGATAGAGAATCGTTTGTACCCGTTTGTACCACTTTCGATTTCGTTTGTATCTCAATCGGTTTTAAAATACAGCGATGTTTTGATTTTTCAGAATAAAGCTGAAAGTGTGTATCTCCGTTATTAATAGAGATATCGCAAAACGGTCGATAGAATTCGATAGAGAATCGTTTGTACCCGTTTGTACCACTTTCGATTTTGTTTGTACCTCAATCGGTTCCAAAATACAGCGATTTTTTGATTTTTCAGTATACCGCTGAAAGTGTGTATCTCCGTTATTAATACAAATATTGCAAAACTGTTGATGGAATTCGATAGAGAATCTTTTGTACCGCATTCAATTTCCGCATTCACAGAGCTTACACTTTCGGCATTATAACTTTCTTATATCATACGGACAAAACTCCGAAACCATATAGAATCTATAGGAAAATTGGCGCCCTATGCAATGATATATCGGTTTAATCGGTACGACTGATTAATCTAAATGACGATTTAAATTGTAATTGATTTAAATCAGCAGCATTCAGGTTTTGGATATCACTTTTTCTTATCTTAGCCATTATACTTTCGATTTCGTTTGTACCTCAACCGGTTCCAAAATACAGCGATTTTTTGATTTTTCAGAATACCGCTGAAAGTGTGTATCTCTGTTATTAATAGAGATATCGCAAAACGGTCGATAGAATTCGATAGAGAATCGTTTGTACCCGTTTGTACCACTTTCGATTTCGTTTGTACCTCAATCGGTTCCAAAATACAGCGATTTTTTGATTTTCAGTATACCGCTGAAAGTGTGTATCTCCGTTATTAATACAAATATTGCAAAACTGTTGATGGAATTCGATAGAGAATCTTTTGTACCGCATTCAATTTTCGCATTCACAGAGCTTACACTTTCGGCATTATAACTTTCTTATATCATACGGACAAAACTCCGAAACCATATAGAATCTATAGGAAAATTGGCGCCCTATGCAATGATATATCGGTTTAGTCGGTACGACTGATTAATCTAAATGACGATTTAAATTGTAATTGATTTAAATCAGCAGCATTCAGGTTTTGGATATCACTTTTTCTTATCGTAGCCATTATAAACTTATAACTTATAACCATTAAACTTATGTATAAAAATGAAAATATGTCTAATGTCTAAACTACATTATTAAAGGAGTCATTAACATTTTGATTAGGTTGAAATTGAAGTTAATATCCATTATACCAGTTTGTTTAACGTGATAGAAAAAATTTCGAATTTTGTTGTACCTTTACTGGTTTATTTATAATTTTTGTTGTCTAACTAGTTTCGGCAAAAAGCCATCATCAGAGACAAAAGTCAATGAATTTACAAGATGGTCTGACCATCTTGTAACATCTACCACAAAAGATGTCCATGCGGAGTTAAATCTTTAAAGATTTAAAAAAATAAAATTTGTTTACGTTTATTTTAAGTAAATTATGTGACAATAATAATTTAATTTGTTCACCGCTTTATGTTTTCGATATAATTTCCTGTAACATTCATTGACTTTTGTCTCTGATGATTGCTTTTTGCCGAAACTAGTTAGACAACAAAAATGATAAATAAACCAGTAAAAGTACAACAAAATTCGGAATTTTTTCTATCACATTAACATTTTGAATTCAGTCTTAGAAACATATCCACCAGCTCAGGTTTAGATAAATCGGTGAAGATTCGTTTGATAAATAAAAATTGTTTGTGTACTCATAACCTACATTTTTAGTTTCACTGTATATAGATAAGATAATAAGATGGTCTGGTTAGAAAAGCCTTTATGTGATCATGAATCTTCTGATAATATTCATTAGCGACTTTTTTTGATCGGTTGCTGATTTTTCCTCTCAACTTACAATCAACCAACCTACAGAGCATATATCTTGAAATTGCTTTATAGTCATCAAATAAACTCGCTACTCATTATATTTAATACACGAAGATTATAATAATATTGCAAACAAACAATACATAACCTCTAACTGACTACAACACGTGGTATCAGATTAGGGGATGATGGAAATTACTCTGTCAAGTGAAGAGGAGATGATGCCGTTTAGCGATAAAAATAAGAATAATAACGGTGTAACGGTTCGTGAAACAAATTCAATAATGCAAAATATTCAAAAGTGCATATCATGATTTAATGTTGGATTGTGAGTTGGCAAGGCAAAGATCCTAAACTTTAAACCATCTGATTACTTTTAATTTATTTCCCGAGATACCTGATTAGTTGAATCTTATACCAGCTTCATAACAGTTAAGGTGGAAGTCTACATTCTTTTGTTAATGTACGTCCAAACTACATTGAAGGAATCAATGATATGTTGAGTTTTTCAAACAAATGAAAATATGTTTTGAGCTCATAACTTCTATTTTTTAGCTTTCTGCGTTTTATTTGCACCATGTACGTGAAAGTTCAAACCGCATACAGTAGCTCTCATTTTTTCTAGAGAATCTGTATTTCCTTTGATTTTCAGGCCATAGTGGTTTTGCATTTGCTTAATCAGAGTTAACGTCAGATAGCTCCATTTGATTGCTAGTTTTTTCGTTTATTCTTTGAACCATCTCAATTTCATTCCCATCCCTTGTCTGTCTTCAACTTAGGGTTATTCATTATATATTACATGGTAGGTGTTTAAGTTTTTAAATTCTGTTCCGTTACCCAAGTATTCGACATAGTGAACATAGCAAGTGTCTCCCAACCACTTGAAAATATTGATAGCTTCGGATGCCATTGTGTTACTTGTTCCAGATAAACTAGTGTTTTCTATGATTAGACCCAGTCACATCGGGTTTTTTTTATAAATTGAATACTTGGAGAAAATATCAATATTGGCAACTGTATAGTCATCAGAGAAGACGCTAAAAGTGTGCTTGGACAATGGTTTTTGGAAATTTGTTCTACAAATTCATCTCCTCTTTATAAACTTGTAATTAATTACAGTTTCTGTACAGTATATGAGCAAGCTACGTTAAAGATTATTCATCACAGAATTCAGTTTAATAGCATAAGTAAAATTGTAAGAAAGTAAACGAATTTAGTTTTCCGATGAGTTAACACGCGTCATCTCATCACTAGAATCTAAGAGCATACTGTAACAGTAAAAATCCTGGACATCTTGCAAGCGATTACTTTGTGTAATTTTATTTCTCTTGTAATAAATACCACAGATAAAAAATGATATAGCATTCGTTATTGTACAAAATGCAATCCATCTTTATTAGAAAACGGATGACGTCGTCACTTGGTGGTCGGCAAATGATTGAACATACTGGTTTTCGGTCGAAAAGATGAAAGTTGTTATTAACATGATGTTAAATAATTGTGATCCAGATGAGAGACCATATTGAAATATTGACGGTTTGGGACGAGATGGGTTCGTTAGATGTGGGAGCTTCACGCATAATGATTCTTCAAGTTTTGATATTAGGCGTTAACTTTTTTTGCCATCTTTGGATGTGATGACGAGTGATCTCTTAGCAGACGAACATTTGAAATTTACTTTGAAAGCAAGACTTTCAGTAAACTAGGAAAGCTATCAATTAGCAAGGTCAACACTTCATTATTTGAGTTATGTGGTGAATGAGTGCAATCTATGAGTATATTGTGGATGAGTTAAGCGTTTAGACAAACTTTGATTCTAAACTTGTAAATTATTAAAAAATGTGTTATTATTTTACTTTCCCTTTTGGAGAACATGTTGCCCTTCCAACGTGTGGGATTGAATTGTTTGAAAGCTGTAGATGAATCTGATCTCCACGTTGATTCCAGCAAGGTTGATGTTGAAGACAGATTTTTGTCACTGTTAGCACCTATAATTAATCTCTTGAAATAAATTTTGATAACAGAAATGTCTAGTATCAGCGCCGATATTGCGTTACTCTGATTATTTCAAACCTTTTGAGTTACATACTGACATGTCAGCTTGGAGCTATCCTTTTATAGCCTTCTATTATTGAAGAAAACGTTGTAGATTACTCTTTAGAAGGTAGAATAAAATTACTCCTCAACAGAAAGATTTCGAAAATGGGTAACATGAAACAATTTGTAACATGAATTTTTAGTGTTATTCAAGGTGTAGAAACAGATAACAGAAAACGAAAAGCACCAGGATAAAATGTCATAAAAATGAGTTTTATCTATTCTACTAATCTTATAGATTAACTTATAGGATACTAAATACACTTACTCTTTCTATTGTTATAAAAGTCACATGTTTGTCTTCTTCTGGTTTTAAACCGGTTACAGTTTGACTGATATCTGTTGTAGTCCATAAAAAATGTGGGAAAGATACAACAACAGGTGATAACATACACTCATTCATATCCAAAAAACCATCTGGCAAACATTCTGTTCTTGATCCATTTAAGTTTGCGGTCCGCTTTGTACAATAGCAAGAGTTTCCGGCTTGGTTCGATAGTGTATCGCGTCTTAAAAATCTTCTTTGCCCCTCTATATTTTGGTATTCATGTTGATCTTGGTATTGTAAAGTTACCGCTCTATAAGTATACCTATCATATTTTTTAAAAAGTTTTTAAATAGGACCTAACCTGCACAAGTCAGTACTAAAAATAGCGAATACATCAATTTCGTCTATATAAGGAGGATAAATGGTAAAGTCTCTTCCTCTCACCGTATTACATGAACCTGCCTTCCAAATATTTAAAGTGTCTGAATTCTCCCAAGCCGTAATTAATCCCACTTTACTTTCAAGATATAAATCGGAAACTCCAGCAAATATCTTGTATTCACCATCGTGATTATCTTGTTTCTATGAATATATGTATCGAAATAAATAATAAATAAATAAAAATAAGAAAATTGTTACATATCCAAACGCTGAAAATGATAAAGCACCATCTTCAGTCAATTCCATACTCCTACTTCTAGTAGTGGGTGAACTGATCATTATGGAGCACATAAAATTGGTTGGATCTGTACAAAATTTAACACCATCGAATAAGAAATTTTTCACTTTGATTTTAATAAAAGGACCAATTATTTCATAACCGTCAAACGCTTCCTCCCACCAGTCTTCCAGCTCCTTCGCCATTCCCATTCTTTCAAAAATTTGAAATGATCCCTGTAAAGGTGCATTAAGCACGTAAAATTCATCGTTTTCGGTATATTCACCAGAGAGATTCTGATTAAACTCAAAATGATAATATTGTTTGTAAGATAATGTATCATAGACCGAATCACGTTTAATATCGCGTTTAATACTTGTTTGGCTATAAGAAAAATAAAAATATATTAAAACTTAAGTATTAAATCGAATTAAATTATTTATTACGTGTACACATAAGGACCTCTTTGATGCAAGTTCGGTTTTTCTAATCCATTTAAAACTTCCAGCGGATTTTTAATTTCAAATAAGTAGACATTAAAGTTAATTGGAAAAGGTTGATTTACCCAACGATCGTATTGTATTGTGCCGTCGACAAGTGAGTCCTAAACAGGCTGATTAAACTTAAAGAAAATTATAGATTTTAAATTATTACCGTAATTGTTTTAGATCGTATAGAATAAGGAACAATAACCATTCCAATAAGAAGAGCACCAAATATTATAAGAACTCCAACAATTATAATTAATTTGGAAATACAGTACCTATTCACCATTTTTGCAGCCTTTGTTACTTTTTCAATACTGTGTGCATCAATTAAAAATAATAACGTTTTGGAAAATATATAGCCACCGATATCTGTTTGTATCAAATATTGATAAAGCTAAGATATATCAATGAAGGAAAATAAAATAAAAAATTTCGTTATCAAAAAATATGAGCTGTGAGTAATAAACGACAATAAAGTAATTTAAGGGATTTTGAAGAAGTATTTATTAATGTTATTCATCGATAATAACGAATCGTTATACGCCAAAAGTTATTAATATATAAAAGTAAATAATAAAATTTGAATAATGAAATTATAACAATAAAATAAATGAAATGTTATCATGGAGCATAACCATCATATTTGTTTTCTAAGCTTCCCAATGCGATTTTACTCATAAAAGTAGTTGTAGTAAATAGAAGGAAATCCCACACATTTACCATAAAAAAACACTGCTTTTGTTATATAGTTTTACATTTGACATTATTGGTTCCCTCCTGACCTGCGATGATGACACATTAAGTCTTTTTGATCGAAAATATTCTGTATTGGTATTGAAACGTGGTTGAATGATCCTATTAGTGATAAGCAACTATCTATTGCCAATTATGTGTTTACCAAACTAGATAGAGGTTGAATGGATGGAGAAACTTCAACGTATGTTAACCTAGGGTTCAGTGCTTCATATTATCTTATGTGGTTCTAGTAAGGAACAGCTCTGGATTTTAGTTAAAAATAAGTTTCATAATTTAAGTCATAAGAGTTGTAATCACAACTTGATGATGCTTGACACAACTTGAAATTGCTTTGTTTATAAATAAATGATTAATAATAAGGATGTCATATTTGTTATTCACGCGATAACATTAATATTGATATCATGATATAAAGATAAAGGCCGCGCTTTATCTGTATTGCTTGAATCTATACATTCATTTAGATTATATAAAATAATTCAGCCACGTCATGGTATATCTTCACTTCATTTCAATTTATTATATTTAATTTTCGTCTTCGGTATTAGTTTAGTTCTGTTTAATTATTATTAATTTTAATACATCTGATCTACTTGGTATTTACAAATGATTAGATCTTATAGTGATTTTGATTATAATCATTATCAATTTGATTCATATCAACTACCATTTTATAACATACATAATATGATCTATAAATTTTAATGATAAAGGCAATTATCATTGTATCACTGACATATTTATATAGGTGGTCCATTTAACCTGAGACAAGCGATTATCTCGAAAACGGTTCATTTTACATAAAAATGAACCAAATGAAAGTTGTTAATAACATTTTTCATTTTAACCTTGATCTTATTTTCAAGGTCATGTGAAGGTTATGACCAATTTTTTAACTGGCACCCTATGTTTTTGATTGCAAAATCTGAATCTATGGATAAAAGTAAAATAATTTAAAAAAAAAAATTACCGTATGGTTTTGCCAGTACAACGGCGAAACATCTTTTGTAGACAAAATCTAAATAATTTTTTTATTCAAATAGTTTTAAATATTGTTTATTCATAAAAAAATAATTAAACTATACTATTAATCAACAACAAGTATAAAATTTATAATAAATGTTCAAATATTTCCCTACCCACTTCAATACATTTATTAACCCTTCTTTTAATTCTTTCTTTACATCTTAAAAGGTTTTCTTGGCTACTATTTCTGCATGCATTTCTTATCCGTTCTTTCATGTTTTCTGGCGTAGTCGGTTCTTCGCGATAAACATTATCCTTAAGGACGCCCTACAAAGAAACAATCAAGAGGTGTTAAATTAGGTGATCTGGCAGGCCAGGAAATTTGACCTTGTAGAGGTCGTCTGTAGGAGCTTGTAGTCTCGTCTGTTCTGATCACTTCTGTTTTTTGTTCAACTTCTTATTATTGTTAACACCAAAGTTACAAGCTTGAAAGGATAACGCAGCTTCTTCGGCAGCACTATCAGAAATTAAACCAAGCCATGGAAATTGACGAGATCATTTCAGTGTAGTTTAGTGACGTTAACGTCATTGACTGTTACTAGACAAGAAAAATGCGTTTAAGTCCTGCAAAAGTTGCTCAGGCAGTGGCTTTGGTGGAAGATGGACGCATCACTCGTTATGCTGCTCGTGTTCTTGATGCGATACAGAGTACGGTTTGTCGCGCCATTAAAAGATTTCGGCAGACTAGCACCTTCATCAGACGACTTGGGTCAGGAAGAAGACGCACAACCCCGTAATGCTCGATATATTGTAACGACAGTGTTAACAAATCTACATACCATAGTAGTTGAGATAAGAAATCGTCTGGAGCAAGTGCGTCGGGTGAGCGTTGGTGAACGCACAGTAAGAAGAACATTTGAAGAAGCGGGGTTGAGATGACAGAAATCAGCAACTGGACTCGATTACAATTTGCACGAGATCATGTTCAGTGAACCAATGCAGAGTGTCGAAACGTACTGTTCTCAGACGATCGAGGTCGGCTTGTACTCTCCAGATGATCGAGAGAGAGTTTGGAGCAGAGCAAGAGAGAGCGTTATGCTTAGTGCAACTTATCTGAAAGAGTTTGTCACGGTTTGGGGAGGAATCTGCTTCGAAGCACGTACGGAGCTTTGCTTTATCAACGGCAATCTAAACACGGCTCGGTATATTGAAGAAATTTTGGCTGAACACTTCGGCCCATTTATTGGTGACAACTTCTTGTTCATGCACAATAATGCACGCTCCCATACATTCCGCATAGTGTCTCAATACCTGGATGATTTATATCAAGAGAATGGAATGGCATGCACATAGCTCTGCTTTAAAAACCCTATAGAACACATGTGGGATATGCTAGGGAGACGAGTTAGATCCGCTATATAAACGCTAGATGATCTCTAGAAGAAGAGTGGAGCCAGATGCCGCAAAATGAAATTCAAAATCTGATTCGAAGTATGCCTCGAAGGATGAGGGATACCATTCAAACGAGGGGAGGAAATTGATTTACTTGTCACAGTTTAATTAAATTTCATCGACATCCATGACTTGCTTTAATTTCTGATGGCGCTGCAGAACAAGCTGCGTTATCTTTTAGAGCTTGTAACTTTGATATTAACAACAATAGAAACTTGATCAAAAAACAGAAGTGATCAGAACAGACGAGACTACAAAGTCTTTATGTTTAAAATTAATTTCTTTAGTCGGTGCACAAAACACGCTTTAGCGTTATTCACAATTGCTGAAATTGAAGAATGCCAAAATAGGGAAGGCATCTACAGAAATATTGACAGAGGTAGACCTTTCAAATAAAAAAAACTTATTCAAATTGAGCAATACGTTCAAAAGTTATTGCATTTTGAAACTGGTCATCATTTTAGATGTTGCGTTTTTTATGCCGCTAAGTGTATATCTAGGACAAAACATAAGAGCAGATAATCAAATGCGAACAGCGGATCTGAGTCGAAGAATAAGACTGGTGTGGACAGTGTTCGGTAGGTTAAGACATGTATTACAGAGCAAGAACAAGAAATTTAAAACCTATGTGAAGGTAAAGGTACTAAAAGAGTATGTGATCCCGATCTTGATATATGGTGCTAAAACATGAGCACTCATCATGAAATCTATCAACAAGATTTAAGCTACCCAACGCCATATAGAACGAGGAACGAGTCATATCAAACATGGAAATAAGTGATAAGAAATCAATAGAATGGGTAAGACAGCGAAATGGCGTGGACGGATCACTTCGATTTCTAACATTTTACTTCAATTTTCAACATATCACCACCACCAAATTTCTTCTTCAAAAAATGTTTGCTATTGTCATTATTATATTCTGAAGAATCGTTTTCCGTTGTTTTCATATTATCGTTCTAATATTTGTTAGAAAATCCTGTATAATACATTTTCATTTACACTACGTGGTGACTTAAAAGTCGTTACTTCACTTCTAGGATAACAGTTGGGTTTACAAAGTAAGTGGGACAGCAAAGATCGAAACAATCATTATCGCAAGAAAGACTGGCCAAAGCGGAAGTGCCTCACTCCTGGAGAAAAACATGTTTTACACCCTCCTTTTGTCGGGACTACCAAAGTACTTTTACCACCTTTACATACAAAACTAGGTTTGATACAAATTTTGTCAAAGCCATGGATCGCAACCGCTCAGGTTTTATACACTTGAAAGAAAAGACGGACTTCAGATCATGGAATTGTTTAAAAATAATATATTCGAAGAAAATTTGAATTCGTTTAGAGAAATCTGCTTGGAAATGTTTTAAAAATGTCGCGCAACATTTTTTGAGAAGTCACAACAAAGCTGCAAAGATCCGATAGAAGAACTACTTTAGACGTATCAAACATTGGGTGCATGCACTCAACATAAACATTCAACAGTCCCACCTCGACTTCTTTCCCGAGAATCTAGGAGCTGTTAACGACGAACATGGAGAAAGGTTCAATCATGATATTTCGAGCATGGTAAAACGATGCCAGGGCAAATGGAGACCTCGTATCTTGGCAGATTTTTGTTGCACTCTTGAAAGAGTTCAACGTCAAGTCAAATACTTGAAACATATTTTCAAGTTTAATTGTAAATAAAATCAGTCCAGTTTTATCTACACCTATTTTCCACCTTAGGGAGTCAAAATAATGTATTAAATGTGTGAAAAATTCATGTGACAAATTAAAAGTTTATTTTTGTCGATCAGTGTAATCACATACACTGCAGGATTAAGATTATCAGCTTCTAGAATAGCATTAAGCAAATATATCACTAAGTTTACGCTTATCGAGAACTCTTCCTAATTTCTGAGTAAACCAACCTCTTCTTGTAGGATCTTATTGGATATTAGATATTTAATCTCAATGTATTCATGCCTACAACAATATAATAACAATAAATCTTTCAAGATTATTTTAAATCAATGAAATGAAATGATAAATTAACTATCTAAATTGTTAACAACGCATTTTTAAGATTTAGGGATTTAGAATCATTCATCATTTTAATAAAAAAAGTTTCAATATAAATTTCGGTTATATCTACATTTATTTATTCTGATTAAAGATAAAATTTAAATCTTTGAGTGTACGCAATTTAATCACCCTATCAATTTTATTTTGTTAAAAATAGAATTCACTTCAAAATATTTTCAAAGGAATACGATAAGATAATGCTTTAAATTTCTTTGAATTTTGAAATTATTCTAAGAAAGTAAACGGCATTTGAAATTCTTTATAAACCTCATTTTTATTTAAAATTAAAATAAACAAAATATCAAAAAATATTAATATCAGTTTCCTTCTATTTAATTATTTTTTTTTCTTAAATATAAACCAACATCCGAAAACGAGGAACAAAACTATCCCTACAGCTATTAAGGTCCACGTAACAGCATCGACCAAAACTAATTTACTCAAGTATTTTTCATCGAGTTCGTCGATTAAGTCATCCGTCAACTCAACACCCTAAAAACATTAAAATTAACATTTAAATCAAACAAAACAAAAAAAAATACTTCGTCAATCCAAATTAAAGGCACCATGGCTGGTGTTAATGTCTGTGTCATGTCAATTCCTTTGATTGGTCTAAGAATCATATTAAATTGAACTCTTTTAGATCCTTGCAGAGGATATCCAGTTCCCTAAATATTTAGTTTCTTAATAAATTATGGTGAAATTTTAATAATATTTTCATATTTTACCGGTTCAACGTTAACAAAAGTTATATGTTTATCTTCATCTGGAGTTAAACCTGTTACAGTGGCTGCTGTATCTTTATCAGCCCACAAGAAATGAGGGAAAGATAAAATAACCGATGCTTTCAGACACGTAAATAGGTCCACAAAACCATTTGGCAAACATTCATCTCTAGAACCCTCCAAAGTTGCTGTATACTTCGTACAGAAGCAAGAGTTACTTCCAGTGTTTGTAAGAGTATCTTGTTTTAAATGTCTTCGTTGTCCAGTTACACCTTTGTACTCTTCTTCTCGTTTATATTCTAATCTAACCACTCTAAACAATTATTTTTAATAATTTCTTAACGTTTAAAAGAAATTTTAATAAAAATACCTGCAAATATCGGTACTATATATATCGAATTCATCTTCTTCTTCAATATATGGCGGATAAATGGATGAATCTCTACCTCTTATTGTATTACATTCACCATCATCCTCCCATGTGTCTAATTTAGTAGTTTGTTCCCAATTTTCAATTAAACCGAGATCTTCAACGACATCCATACCAGCTTTTATAACATATTCTCCATCATGGGCATTTTGTTTCTGTAGACAACCGAAAAGGAATTAAGTAATTTACCTGAATTGATATATTCTTTGCAACTTACAAATTTAAAGAAAGAGAACGAAATGTAACCTTCTGGTGTTATTTCTAAATTTTTCATTTGTTTTGAGGTTTCTGTTACGAGTCCACACATCGAGTTGGTTAAATCGGTGCAAAATACTAAACCTCCAAAAAGATAATCCTTCACTTTAATTTTGATGAATGGGCCAAGTATTTGGTGATCGCTAAATGCTCCTTCCCAAACATCGTTTACCAATGATCCAAATCCACCCATAAGATCTATTGTTTGGAAGGCTCCCTAAAAAATTAGTAGGTACAGTAAAACCTCGATATAACGGATTAATACGGGGAAGGGAGTGTCCGTTCTATGTTTGGTGATGGTTTTACTTTTAGTTCAAGAAAAATATACAACAATCTAGTGCGGAAGAACAACTAAATCTACAACTACTGGATTGAAAAAAAAAGGATTTAATTAAAAAAAAAATAGTACTATTAAAGGTGTGTTAAGAACATAAAATTCGTCTTCTTCCGTATTAATTCCAGATGCTTCTTTATTAAACGAATACTGTTGATACTGTTTATAAGTTAAGGTATCTGCCGTTTTATTTCGACTAATACCAGTTTTCTCCCTGCTCTCGCTGAAAATAAACAATACAAAATTAAGTAATAATTGATGAATAAATAAATTTTTAAATACTTATAAACGTATGGTCCCCTTTCTTTAACATTTGGCTTTTCTGTGCCTGCAATTACTTCTTCAGGATTTGTAATTTCAAATATATAAACTTTAAATGCCATATCGACTGGCAATTTTCGCCATCGCTCGAATTGTTCGGTGTCATCTTCAAGACGTACTTGCTATTAATAAATTAAATTAATAAAATTTAAGAGTTTTAATAACGTGAAGTTGTTGAAACAAAAAATTAATACCTCCGCTATTTGATCATGTACATAATCTGGCAATACTTTAAAACCTAACACAGCACCAATTACAATAAGTATAGCACCCACTAAAGAAACAATTAAAATTACCCAACTTCGACAATTCATTTTTAAAAAAATACTGAATCATTAAAATCATTGCTGGTGGTTTTATAAGTTGTTATCAAAAAAAAAAAGAGAAAGGATTATTTAGATGATAAAAAAATGTGCGTTGTTTGAATATGAAAGATTAAATATCGACAAACACTTAAGATTTCAAATCGCCTATTTCTATTTTTTTTTGAAGTATTCCAGATGACAGATAAAATAAGATGATAAAAAATTTAGATCCCTTTATCTTGAAATAAATAATAATTCTGATTGTATTACTTTGAATCTTAAAAAAAAAAATAATAAAATAAAGCCACCATAGATTTAAGTCTGGTATCAAGGGATAGTAACGAACCGGGTAAAAGCTCGAACCTATAACGCAATTAAGAGGTACAAAAGTCGACGCGTACGTCCAAAAGATAAAAAGCTCGATTGGAGGGATAAGTAATAGAATTATAAAAGCCGAAGAGAGGTCCAAAGCTTTGGCCCCGTGCGAGATAAAAGCTTAGCCGTGTCACCATAACCCTCTCTCTCTCTCTCTCTTTTTGTTCTCACTCTCGATAGCATCCGAACTTCGCCATTTGATATTGTGCAATCGTGCGCCCCCTTTCCTCCTCGAACCCAGTTACTCTAATTTCCGGCTTTTACCGGATCTTAATGACATTAGGACAGTGTAACGGCGTTTTATTGTCGGTTAAACTCATTAAGTCCCTATGCACAGGGAGAGAAGGACACTGACGCTGGACGGAAACTGTCTACTACGTCAGTTCTCTCAAAACCAGTTTCCTCAAATTCGCTTCAGTTAGGTTAACGAAGTAATTCGTACTTTCTAGTTAAAGGTAACCAAATTTTGCAACTAAAACTAATCGTAATGGATTTCATTACTATTTTAAAACAATTTGAATGTATGTAATATAGAAACCCATTATACTTATTATTATGTAACATAGGTAGTAATATCTTTATTATTATATACATTTCATTTTAATAAAAAGAGAAAAATAATATACATAATAGTGTAGGAAGATAACGAAAACAAGGAAAAATAAAGCAAAAATTATAAAAAGCAAAATAATAGACAAATTGAAATAAGTGAAAAACAGCTGAATACACGACTATATTCATCACCCTAACTATATTACAGTTAGGTACGTAAGAGCTATCCAAAAATAACACATATCTACTTAAGAATCTGTCAGAGAGGCAATCTGAGTCCAACTTTTATTAATATTATAATGGATAAAATCGTATATAGTGTTAAAGAGGTGCTACTGCAAAAGAAATAGTGCACTACTAATGGCAGGAAATGATAACGATCTACAACGATAGCTAGATAAATTTAAAACGTCAAAATTTAACATGTTAATATCAGTAAGCAAAACGGAATCAATATGGTAATAACAAAGGATCCCAAGAGATGTAGGTAGACAGTTTATGACAAAGCATACAAAAAATGAATTGCACTTATTTGGAAGTAAGCGACTTAAGACACCTTGTCTGGATAAATACATGACAAATAGAAGATAAAGTTTTGAGCTCGGGCAGAGACATCTAAAACAAAAAGTATGGTTAGGAATGATGAGAGCATTGCGATCGATTAAAGGAGTAACGTTATGTGACCAGAGGAGTGCTGTGAAACAAGAAGATCTAGATATATAGGACGATATTAGATTCATAACATCAAGACAAAGATACTGGAGAGACCATGCCGATAGAATGGAGGACGATATGTAGTCGGAGTGGGCAAAGGAAGAAAAACCCACATCGAACAGACTTTCTGGAGAACCACCTCAGAGAAGACATGAAAACTGGACTTCCGCATCTCAAGAGGTTTAATAATTTATAACAGAAAACAAGATTTTGTCTTAATTAAAAAGAAGAAGAATCAGATCGGGTTGAGGTATCATTGAAATCTTTATGATGATCGATTGAAATATTCTTGAATTAAGGATAAGGTGGAAGATGCTTAAAGAAGATACTGAGATGATTTTAACATTATAAAGGGATGTAAACTTATTAAATTTCTTAGAATCAATAGAATCCATGTATATGAGAATGATAATTTGGGAAGGCAGCACAACTATGAGCTATACACGGTTGATGTATTCGGATAATAAATGTAGATACGAATGAAATTATTTCTTTAATAACAAAATAGTTACCCTCATTACATGGAAAGCAGTGAGTTATTTTCCATTTCTTATAAGGTACCGCAAATTGTCGAAATAGAAATAAACATATTGTTTATAATAGACTGGCAAGAGTATTCTGGCCCAAATTTGAACACTCCACATCAAAGATCATCGACAGAGAAGAGTATACATATTTGTTGATGACTACTTGTTTACTTTTATAATTTGCACCAAAATCCAAGAAACAGCGTATAAACTATTTAGAGAGATTGTTTCTTCTCAATTTCTGTTACAAACTATAGTATCCATAAATATGTCTGCGTTTATTTTTTTTAATAGTATCTTGAGTCTAGTATCTTGACTTCTTCAGTAAACCATGCTTTATCATGCTTTGCGTTGTTGATGTTAATTTTCCTAGTTCTTCCGTCGCACCATTCCATATTAGATTTAAGTTACAAGGTTACCAAATTACAAAGTTCGCCGATAACAGTATTCTCACATTTGGCTAGGGTTAACTTATCTATTGATGTTTATGAAGTCAATAATAAAGCTCTGGTTCTGTGTGTTGGAAAATGTAAGTTTACATTGGTGTTTATGCGGGAAGACCGTGTTATTGACTCTCAGCTCATTTTGAGCACATAGGTTGATAAATATTTGAAGACAGAATGACGTGGTTACTAATTCTATAATTAAAATTCTCCATAATAAATATCGTTTCGTATTTCGTTGAAAAATATTTACCGTTCCTCGCGGGGTTTGGTTTCATCTGGTGCATATACACTAAAGCGTATTTTGTCGCTGTTGAATTTTAATGTAATGAACAAAATATTTTTATGAACACTACTTCCGCGAAAAAGTAAGCGTTGGTTGCCTTTTTCCTTCGTTTTAGTTTAACAGAAAGCGCACAAATATTTACTTTGAATTTGTTCATTTCCATGAGGACTTCCTGGTCTTACTGTTCAACGATACTATGTTTCAATATCCCATACGTACTTCATAATATTTCCATATTCGGTTTTTCTTTGGTTTCGTCGTGTTAATTCCCCGTAAAATTCGTCCAGTATCCAAGGCTTGCATAGTAGTTCTTGAGCTTGGGACCGGTAGTGAATCTTTGAGTTACTAAATCCACCCAGCAATTACCACAGGTTCAGAAGAATGGAGTAATATCGATAATCGATTAACCTCTCGCATCTACAAAGATCGGTTCTCTATCTTGATTAAGTGTGTCTAAACCACTGCTAAATTTAAGTTGACCTTACCTCCATCGTAAGATCAACTTACTTTATATATCGCAAAGGGACTGATTCTCAATGAGAGATAAACGAATCACTGAGTTCATATACGCTTGATTGTATGTATGTATGTAGTTTCACGTGGGGTTGAGTTTCTTCACAGCACTTAGGCTCCAGCGGGCCCCTTGTACGTCCCCACAATTACTGTTCATTAAAGGGTCAGAAAATCAGCCCAATTTCTTCATGAACGTTAATATAGAACAGAAAGGTATGTTCCTTATATCCGAAATTTGGAGCCATGGTACTCCGAAAATGGATTCCGTTAAGTACGCGAGGTTGGGACAGTCACAAACAATATGACTTACCGTCTCGTCTTCCATTTCACACCCCCTACAGAGGGGTGTATTCGCCAGCTTCATGTAAAACATGTGCTTACGTAACTTGCAGTGTCCGGTCAGGAAGTGGGTGAGAAGCCTCAAGTCACTTTTTGATTTTTCCCAGAAACTGAGTTTTCTTAGCAAAGACACCTGCTGCTGTCCCATCCCATCTGTTGCAAAAAGCTCAATGGGAGATAAAGTTTATCAGTTTTGATGCTGTATTAACAGCTAGTGGTACAAACGATTCAGGGGAGATCGGTGACTTGTCAGCCGCCCGTTTCGCCAGCCTGTCCGCATGATCATGTCCTTTAATTCCAATGTGTCCTTTTCGCGATTTTATCGTGACGTTGTTGTATACGTTTGCCTCCTCGAGTGATTGCCGACAGGACTTCACCAACGATGATGCAGTGTGGTGTATACCAACCGCCAGCATAGCCTGTCTGCTATCAGTGCAGCTTACAACGTTTCTGCCGACTTTTTTGGAGTCAATGATCGCATCGGCTGCTATGTTTATAGCAGTTAATTCGGCTTGAGCAGTCGTGCCATACGATCCTAACGAAGTGGAAAGGTGCAGCTGGAGATCGTGCGAAAAAATTCCCACTCCGGAACCTCCAGCCTTCTTTGATCCATCAGTGTAGATGTTTTGCCCGAGCTTGAGTTGCTCTGGGGTATCGTTTCAATGCCAAAGTGTGGCTTGCCTAAGAAAGTAGGTGTAATGTAGTCTGTACGAGGCTGTTTACTAACGAATAATAAAGTGTCTAATATAGTGTCGAAACCGGTACGGAGGAAATTTAAAATAAACGGGAGAAACTGAAGTTTAAAAAACATTATTGTTTTATTGTATCTAATTCTGTTTACTAAGGAGCCTCACGGACTCCTTGCTCCGGATTATTCCCATTTTAACAACCTGCTTTTCATTTACTGATCGCAGTCGATGCAATGTCACCACGGCCACCTCCCTGATAAAAATATCTAGGGGCAACAGGTTTAGCATAGTCTCCATCGCAATCGTAGGTGTAGATCTCATAGCGCCAGTGATTAGCAGGCAGGCCAATCGTTGCAGTTGATACAGCAATTTAGTTTTATATGCATGTTTTAGTGCTAAGTACCAAACTATGGCTCTGTGAGCTACCATGGGTCTTATCACAGAAGTGTAGATCCACATTGTAACTTTCGGATTTAGTCCCCAAGTATTCCCAATAGCCCTTCGGCACTGGGTCAGTACAATCGTTGATTTTTTGGTTTTGCAACTAATTTGTGATGTCCAAGTTAGTCCTTTGTTCAAG